AACATTAATATGTGCATCCTCCAGTGAAGACAAGTTGCATAGAATGACATCAAGTCGCAACCCACTGGTGCACTTAAATAATAAAAGATTGGGTGCACAAATCATTATCTGAACAAATTGATCACTAAGTTCAGTGTAGTAGTCTTGTAAGGTTAGTGTCCTGAGTGAAGAATTAGAAATTTTGAATTCGGAACGATCATTGTTGAAAGCACAGGATCCCAAAACCAAATCCTCAAGAACTGGGCAACTTGACAACAGTTTTTCACCAGAACCATCATTTGAAAAGGAAAAGTCATGCATGTGAAGAACCTTAAGATTTGGGAGACAAATTCTGGCTGGGACTTTCAGAGCATGATAAGACGAATTTAAATTCACTTTCAAAACCACCAATGTCTCACAAGAAAATACACTAGCTGGTAAGGGCATACCCAGAAAAGCAAAATGATGGTTGTATATATCAAGCTCTTGAATGCTATGCTGCATTAAAGCACGTATCCACCCATCAACATGCAAAGGATCGACGTATTGATAGCACCTGAGACGGAAACTTACTATAGATGGTTTATCATGAAAGAAGAACACTCTATCTACAAAATTGGAGAACCTATTTGATTTTTCAGCATCAATCTCCTCTCTGTCATCATCCAAAGTCCAAACTCTAAATCTATACTAGAAACCAAAGTGTAAATCTTTCTCCACTTTGTTGAGAGTACAGAGGTTTGAACTGCAACTTTTGTTGGAAGAAATGAGAGAATGTGACAAATAACTCCTTCAGGCAAGGCACTGATCCTGTCAACACCGCTCTCAACTTCCATATCTTTAGCCATCAAGGAAAAACAAATTTAACTCCTACAGACCCCTAAAAGGAATAAAAAAGGCATCAATCATAAGTATCTTTATCCTTGAATTGAAGCAGAAAGCAAAGAAACAATTCAAGCTTTTAGAATAATTCAATCTATAACAAGTAGAGATGCCTCCCCCGAGTAAATATACTCAACCAATTTGAGAAAGAACAGGGTATAACTTGTTAAAAAAATCATCTTTAGTGAATCCAAAAGTAAATATACTCAAATAAATTTCTCATCACAACTATTTCTCATTCCATAAACAAATTAAAGTACTTGTTTCTAAGACATGGCTTGTCAAATCAGTAAAAAAGACCTCCTCACTCCAAAAGTATTTCCATCTAGTTACACTATTGCCATTAATAACCACCATAACAGATGCCCAATCAATTTCTTGAACTCTTGTTCCTCATAACATCCTATGTTACTTGCTTTTCAAAAAGAGAGCAACACAAGCAGAATTAGAAAGAAAAAACAAAAATATAAATTTAATGTTTATTGTCCCATTCCACAGATAAAGGTAACAAAATTATCCAAAAATTCAATTCATGTACCGATAATAGTACAATACTAAAAGAAATACAAGAAAGCAACAGCAAAACATTAAAGTACATATAAAATGTATAAAAAGAAACACTACCAGCTTTGAACTTGAGGGTCATGGGTTTTTCTATCTTTAATTCTTCTAGCCTCTTCTTGGCCCTCCTCTATTACCCCTTCAATCTCCTACAAAAGCGAACTCCAAAATGGAGGAAACTAGTTGTGGTTTTGGAATGAACTAGCAATAAACCCAAGGGCAAACAAAAATTCATACAATAAACACTTCAGAAACACAGTAACACAGACAAAATTGGTGGATTAAATCAGGAAAAGAAAGTTTTTAGTGTAGGATACGAGACCATACCTTGGTGAGAATCAAAGAATTTTGGATTGAAGCGAAACCAGACTATCTGCTTCAAAAGTCAAAGATTGAATCTACAATCATGGTAGAGATTCAATCAAAGGGGAAATTTTGACTATGGTGTCAATTATGAAAGTGAAACCCTAGCGAGAGAAAACATAAGAATATAAGTATGCAACGGAGGAGAGAGAGAAAGAGATTACCTGGTGATGCTGAGGATGAATTCAGCCGGGATTTCGCTACGGCGGCGTCGCCAAGAGAGAATGAAGGACGCATTAATGAAAAAACGCCCCAAATGGGCGGGTTTTTGTCCTCTCCGGATATAAACAAGCGTTGGACCGTCACCGTCAAAGTTGTCCCTTATTTGTTTGTTTGCGTTTGGGTGGTTGGAGACTTTACAAGCAAAAACAAGAATTGGGCCTGCATGAGATTTCTAAGTTAGAATTTGAAAACCTCGAATTTGAATTTTGTGTCTGAGTTTGATGAAAATGAGAATTCAGAAAATGGGAGAATTATTTTTTTTAATAATTTTATTAAAAAATATTTTACAGGATAAATTATATAT